CAAACTCCAAATATACAGCAGGCGTCAAGGTCGGGATGAAATCCTCAACCTCCTGTATATGCGGTGAGTTAGTTAACATCTCACCACCGTGGTACCCACACTGCACTATGAACCCAAAGTCCTGAGTTCGATTCCCAGCCACGGCTAACATGAATTACGAGTGGTATTGAGTTAGTTAACATCTCACCACCGTGGTACCCACACTGCGCTATGACCCCAACGACCTGAGTTCGATTTCCAGCCACGGCTAACATGAGTTATGAGTGGTATTGGAACCGGCTCCAGCACCCCCCTCCACAAACCCAAACCGACCAGCGTGGTGAAGTATGGTTAAACAGATCCCATGGCTGACAGTGTGGGGACGACTTTTCTCAGCAGTGGATTGACACAGGGTGATAAACAAAAATCATTTTCAAATGCCATGTTTTTCACGGTGTTGATGATTATCATTGATTCAAAGCAACTTGTGTTTTACATGAACTGATTTCAGTGAAGTGTATCCACCTTTTTCTACCCATGAGTATGTATGGGTCCACCACAGTCAATTGGCAGGTCACGTGTGGTTGGTAAAGTCCGGGTACTTCCACCTCTTCCGAGACGTCCGATCAGCCTCAGAGTAGGCCACATGCCCTCTCCTGGACGGCTTCTCTTAGACCTCCCGCGACTTGGAGGCCCTTCCACCCAGGTAATTGCTGGGCTCTGCCTCGACCTTAATTGGCAACTAAACAACTCAGTGGACTGTGGCCCATAACTCAGTTGCTTTTCCTTGCACTCATATTACTGATGAACACTCATATTTGTGCATCGTTGTTACCAGGTCTGAGTGGCCATACCATCGGAGATAAGCCGCGTGACGAGGCAGAGCTTCCAGTGGGACCCACAGCAGCTGCACGGCGCGAACGTTTCGGCCCCTTCGCTGCTGGTGAAGACGACGGAATTGGGGTTCTAGTTAAGACCAATCCGTCAGGGCCCAATCACCCAACAACAACAACAACAGAAGGCTGTTGTCTACAGCCAAATGGCTTCTGAAGAGAAGGTGGGAGAGCAGCACCAAGCACATGGCAGTGCAATATGAGCAATTAGGAATACGAACAATTAGGAATATGAACAATTAGGAATATGAACAATTAAGAATATGAACAATTAGGAATATGAACAATTAGGAATTTGAACAATTAGGAATATGAACAATTAGGAATATGAACAATTAGGAATATGAACAATTAGGAATATGAACAATTGGGAATATGAACAATTAGGAATATGAACAATTAGGAATATGAACAATTATGAATATGAACAATTAGGAATATAAACAATTAGAAATATGAACAATTACGAATGTGAACAATTAAGAATATGAACAATTCGGCAGAAAGTGGTAGCAGCGAGACTATATTTTGGTATTTTTTCAAGACATGACCAAAAATATAATTATAACTTTCCCGTGTTTATTCAGTGTACTAAATGTAGCATGCCTCATTCACTGCTCACGAGTTTCAATCCAAATTGTAACATTTGTCTGTGTTTTAAGCATAAATATTAGGACATCAGATTTTTTGGTTAAATTATAAATTACACAAGAATTATGCATTGGTTGATAGATGCGTAATATGATAAACGCATCATATTATGCGTGTGCTCTTACATAAATTTAAATTAATATATGTTTCATGCGATTGGTGGTTACGTTAATTCTTAATATCATACTGTATCACCATTAATCACTTAATTTCATATTGACCATTGAACTACAAAATAATAATGCACAATATAGCTATTAACAAAACAAAGTTGTAGTTCATAATCCACAATAAATCCACAATCACTGTTTACTAATTAATGCGATATTTAATCAATTTTGTGAGATTATCTTTTTGCGAAAGCACTTTGTTGACTGTATAAGTTATTAAAGTAATATTAAAATGTTTGAATTTAGGCTGTACTATTGTATGGGGTCTGCAATGTACATTTCAACAATGACCATGTTGCTTTGGAATGAAACTATCAGCTGCGCAGACTGCCCAAATCGCTCGCATTCCAACCTGCGGGCTACATCCTCCCGTGCCGTCTTTTACTACAGCTGTACAGATGGAAATGAACAAATATAAACTGTGGCATTTAAACCTGCCTTGTAATTTCTCTAACCATTGTTGTTCCAAGTTTATGAAATACAAATTATGCTAAACACGGCTAGTTATTTTGCAGCTTTGACTGTTTTGCTTTAAAACCATGTTCAGACGTTGTACAGACATTTATTTTTTACAGCGACCTAAATAATGCGATATAACAAGCACCCCTACGGAGATGTGCGCGTTCGCTCTCCAGCGCACAACGTATGCTTCACTTGCCTGCCATCAAGCACCTTTTTAAAAACCATTAATGCTCGAGACTTACACGTTTATTCAAAATTCCAAGCTGAGTCAAGTGTAGGAATGCAAAGGCGTGATGTCTAAAAAGCGAAGCTCTCAAGCTCGCCAGAGGGCCAATAATCCCTCCTGACTGCCATACACTGGTTCTGCTGGAAAAACCACTCCTTGCCTGGCAAGTCTTTGGCAATAGGCAGCAAAGTGCTTTTGGCAAACAGCGTAATCAGTTACTTGCCGAATACAACTCAGCTGGTCTTCTGGGAAGAGGTTGTTTCTTTTCTTTTTCTCATCGATCACCAAAGCCATGGTGTTTTATCCCCTTCCTTTGCAGTGAGCTGCCAATATTTTCCAATCTGCTGTGCATGAAATTATGTCGTGGATTGGTGTAATTTATTTAAAAGCCCATGTTTGTAAAACTATAACCAGACTATGACTTATTTTTATGTTCCCGGTGTACACTTTTTTTTGTTCTTAACAAGACATGCAGCCGTGATTTGGAATTATTAATTGCATCCAATAATGGAAAATGAAAAATGATTGCCAATAACAGCTTTGGGGAGGATAAAACAACAACCCATTTAAAATAGACTCGTAAACAAATATATGACGACAGTTTTGAGTAATAAATGAATGTGGCTCATATATTCGGTGTGCAAACCAAATTGCAGACGGCGTAAGTTTGTCGAGATTGTGCTGCACTGCTCTGCATCGTCGGGTTGCACTTTGCGTCAGTCACGTGATGTGCGGAAGGTTTTACTCCGCATGCGGGCAACTTCGCCAGGAGCTGCCAACTCTGAGACATCATGCTGAACAAATTACGGTTGTTTAAACATCACTATTATTACAAAACACCAACCACAATGGCATGCAGATGGGCATTAGCATTTAAATTATAAATCACTAATGACATTCGCTATCATTAACAAAAAAAAAGTATTGACAAAAAACTTGAAATTCTTCGTTAATGTATAGCTCGATGAAGGCCTCTTCCATGCAGCGTGGGTCATGGGTATTGTTTGACCATTCTTCACCATGCAGGTCAGTGTGGTTTAGTGATGGAGGATTGCCCGTTAACCACTGTCATCAATCTACCCACCCCAATATCATTAGATTTGAAGTTGTTTCATATTTTCAGAGACAAGATATACTTTTGCAAAGTAACTCACTACAGCGCACTATATCCGCGTAGTAAAACACAGAAAAAACAATGCAGAACGGCAAAACAATTATAGTCTTCATCGTTATCATCATCATCATCAGCCATCACCATCGCTCACGATCCTGTGATCCACCTCGCATCTGCACACAATTGTATTTTACCAGGTAAGGCCCACTAAGCTATAGAGCTCTATTTCAGAAGCGACCTGGTCACAAATGACAGCTCAACAAAGTTGCTTATCGTTTGGAAATGTATAGCAGCCCAACATTCTAAACGCGTGATGTTGATTTGAAATGTGGAGGCACGCGACTAGGGGAGAACGCGCAAACTCAAAATATACAGCACCAGACGTCAGGGTCAGGGATCGAACCCGCGACCTCCTGTCCACCGGGCAAGGAAGTTAACATCTTGCCACCGATGCGCCCCGATCTCACGAGCCGATGTCATCCCTTGTACGTGATGTGTACGTGTTATCTAACACGTGTTATCTAACACGTACACAGATTCCCCCCCCCCCCTCCAATTTCGGTTTAGGTTCCCGAAAATAATTCTCCCTGCGCTCCCGTGTTTGCTCTTGGTCATTGTCACTTTCTAAACATTGGCGTGGCTAAACACAAAGCTGCATATATAATATATATGTGCGATAGTATAAATAAATGTTGTGATTCTTCACTGTAATAATGTCATATTACTACTGTATGCAACGTGTAGTCCGCTGTAATGATGTTATATCCATCAGGACTGTGTAGGGGAGTTGTGAGAAGTAGCGGTCCGCACATTGCGCCTGGCAGTCGTCTCTTCACCAGTGAGTGCTGACCAAATTGGTGAAGTATGGTCCAACAAAGCCCAGGAGAACCTTGGCTTGATGAAGCAGTTACGATGGTAACGCGGGCGCAATCGAAACTTACGTTTCCACCATTCGTACATTCACCGTGATGACAAGAGGCACGGCAAAGCTGCGTCCAGTCGCAATGAAGTCAAGGCACACGCTTTACTCGCTACGGGGTGCTCTAAAGAAGGAGCATTGACGAAAACGTTGTAAGTAGTTTTTGTTGTTGTTAATTGGTTGTGATCGTGCATCACTGCCGACGTAACATCGCCAAGCGATTTATTTTACCCAATTGTCAAGACCCATCCCCAGCTCGTCTTTGCTTACAGAGACAAAGATCCCCCGTGTGGCCTGTAACACTGTTGGGACAAGTGCTGTCAGCGAGCACCTATGAAGGCCGGCACGGTACACGAAAGGGTGGCCAGCACTACGCACGGTCGCCTTTATCGCCCCAGTGGCGATGTTTATACACCGCACCGGGCAACTCATTTGAGGCTAAGTCGACCTAGGGGAGGCCCAGGACCGGTTCAGATAATCGTCACCGGTATTGGCCGTGAGCGGGAATCGAACCCGGGTCGCCAGGGTCGTAGCGCAGCGCAGCGCTAACCACTACACCACCGCTCCCCTTGACACACGCTACAGTACACGTGCGTCTTATACTCCGCAGCATGCAGTGGCGTATCATTGTTCTTTTCTCGACAATTACTTCATGACTCCGAGCCACGCTTTCCCGGAGTCCAACCTGACATTTCAGCACACACACACTTAAGATAATAAAACAATATCGATCACAAATCACCAGCAATGAGTCACGACTGACGGAGTCACGCGCACGTGAAGAGCCAAGTGACGCAGCAGCAGCAGCTGTGACTTGCAAGAGAAGGCCGACTCAAGGTGGCGTAGCGGAGCGATGATGCCGTGCAAGAGCCAATGCGCATATTGACATGTACACGTGTGTATATATATACACGTGCGTACGTACGCGCACACACGCACACCCCGGTATATAAAACGCGACTCCTCCTGCCAAAGCCCGCTCCGTTATAACACAGCGCCGCACAGGAATCTGCCGCATGTACCCTGGGTGCCAGGGCTGAGAGTGTGCGGATCCTGACCACCGACAGCTCAGATCTGCTGCTCTACGAACTGGGGCAGACAGCTGCTACAGCAGCAGCAGCAAGTCACTCAAATTTACAAAACCAAGATTCTTTCTCTTTTCGCCGGTCTAACCAACGGGCCCGCTGCCCCTTGCGTTGTTCGTTGATTGCTTGTGCAATTATTTGTGTTGCCTTGTTGCTTTGGTTTGGAGTTGACTTGTAGCCGCTGACTGCGACAAAGGCGTGCTCCATCCAGTGCGTGCTGCTCCCAGCGAGCGGGCACAGCACAAAGTGAAAGTCGCTGGCGCGCAGTTGTTCGCTGGTGCTGGTTACCGGTGGTCCACGTTGGTGGTCCACGTTGGTGGTTCACTTTGGCCGCTCGTCGCAAGCAGGACGAGGATGACGAGGATGATGATGATGTGCGCTGTCGCCTGTGCCCTGCTCGCGTTCGCCTCAGTGCGTGAGTATCTCTGTCCTATCCCACGCATTCCCTTTCACTCACAGCTGCCTATTCAGTTTGTCTGACTTCACAGCCGTTCTTGATATCTGTTCACGTCTGTCTATTCATTCAGGCGTGTCTATGGATGCAAGTGTCTATTCACCAAAGCTGTCTATACCAGCCATCGAGCTATTCATCTGTCTATTAATTTAAACGGATTTATAAAATCTTCCCATTCCTCTATTCATCCGACTGTCAATTCAATCGTCTGTTCACAAAATGTGTTCAACCCCCAATGTTTGTGCTGTGGGCGAAATCCATCCAATCTCTTTGTGTGATAGTCAATTCACCCGTCTATTCATGTTCCTGTTCATAAAATATGTTCATACATGCGGCTAATCATCCGTCTGTATGTGAATGCAGTGTCAATAAATGCTGTCCATCTGTCTACCCATCCGTCTGTCTATTAATCAGTGTATCCATCCGTCTATACACATGTCTATAAACCAGTCTGTTAATCCACCGGCCAATGAGACTATTCGTTCATCTATTCACCCATATGTCTATCCATCTATTCCTACTTCTGTCTTATCCTCCCTTATGTTTTTTTTCATTGATCCATTCGAATGTGTTTTTGTTTGCACTTAAACGCAGCAGTTTTCTGTGCTCATATACGGAGCAATTTAAATTGCTTGTCAGAAGACGTAAGCATGGGGGGGGGGGGGCTACTGGCGAACTTCACTCTCGCAATGGTATCATTCCCTATAACTCATGCAAAGATGACGTTCTAACTCTCGCGCCAGAGGGAGCGGCGGCGCGCACATCGTTCGCGCACTGTGCCGTGAACACAGCCGTCTCAGTTCGATTCCCGACCCCGGCTCACATCAGTGGCGAGTGACATCGCAACTAGTCCTGCCCACCCACAACTCTACCAACCAGCACTAACCAGTGTGAAGTTGGTCTTCATTCAGCAGTGAATTAACCAAGGACTGCAACATGATTTAAAAATGCTCTAAAGGAGTAATTAATGGTATGCACACGTTCTCGATCAACTCTGCAGTCTGTTGTTGTTTTATTGAGTCTTTTAGTGTTTTCGACATGACATGTAAATGCCATATACTCACGATGGTCGTGATGGTAATATAATTTAACGAGTTAATTTTAATGTAAACTTACTCGCAGGCTACGTTGTTTTTAAAAAAAAATCAATCTCGTGTATTATACCTCGTAGAATTTTATTTTTAACCTCGAATGATTTGATTATGCATGTACTTTATACAATAGCTATAACACAATTTAAGTCGCCGTTAGTAAATGCTCTGTTGTAGTAGGCTAATACCCCATTGAATAACTAAAACAAATGTCCCTTATAGCACTTCTTATTCCAAGAATGTATTGTTTTTTTTAAGAAACATGATATCGGCACAAATCGCGTATAGGGTGACGTGTTACCGCTCGGGGCTTTTCACAATGTCAAGTGTAGTATTAGGGAAATATTTCGGTCCTTTGTGTGGACTTATTCTCTCCTCGATAGGACCCACATATATGCGTTACTGTGTAACGTGCATTGCTTCAATAAGCATCGTTTAGCTACGTGCCATATATTGTACAAGCAGAAATTAAAAAAATCACCATCATAATCCACTGCTGGATGAAGATCCTGATAAACCTCCACCGTCTCTCATGACCCTGCGATGCGATCCTACATCCGGCACCTGCAGCACACGAGCTGATTTCATTGCTCCATCTCCTTCAACTGTTGTTCTTTTTGACGCGTTCCATTCCTTGGCCACTCAGTCAGAATTCTTGACCGTCTGCCATTGTGCTTCCTAGCGACATGTTCTGCCCCAACCTATTTTACGTAAAAAAATATAAATGTCTTCTACCAATTACTTAATAATTTCTCAGACAATTACAAATTCTGAGAATGCGCTGCATGTGCTCCAGATAACAATTATTTCACATTCCACCCAATTAGCTCGTATTTCCCCTTCAGCCACCGGCTAAGCAAAGACAGTGATTTATATGTCACGCCAGTTTATTCCCTCCAACACCACCAGTTTTACACAAAATCCCGAGGGTAATCACAAGCTCCAGAACAGAAGAGTTCTCAACTGAAAGCCGCACGTGACATAGCAGCGCATCGTTAACCAGTGAGTCACATATAAGTGGCCTGATGAATATCGGGGAGTCACTGGTGCCGTACCCATACATTATTAACCGAGGGTGTTGCCTCGAGCACACGCGTGTCAAGCGTTGTGCACGAGAGGGTGTCCTGTTTAGTTTCAGCAGTCGCAGTTGTGGCCTCGGACGGAGAGAATTCAATTGGGCAGTGCGGGCACCAGCATTTTTATCCATAGCTTCGCCATGGCAAAAATCCAGGATATAGCAATTTCCGTGAGATCTGAAAGGGCTGCCTACTAATACTTGAACTACTGCCAAGGCTGCAGGATGGCCATCCGCTATTTTGAGATGGTGAATTGTTTTGCGTGTGTGTGGGTGTGCAGCAGTTGATCAGAAGAGCATTTCTTTAAATGTGGATTTTATTTAACAGTATTTTATTCTCGAATACTCTCTGGATTGTTAATACAGTACATTGTCATTATGTTGTCAATCTACTACTGGATGAGGAGTACCCCTCCCTACCCCATGCCATGTAGTCACAGAGGGTTGTTTGAACATACTTCATCATGCTGCGCTTTGAAGTTGCGTGAAGGGGGGTCCCACTCCGGTACAGATATCACTTTCCAATTATGTTAGCCGTGGCTGGGAATCAAATTCAGGTCACCAGGTGCAGAGTGCAGTATGCTAAGCAGTGCCGACTGCTCCACCCTGCACACATCAATCTGTAACACACATTCACATCCTATTACTTGGCTATAGAGTGGACGGTGCTGGCCGTGATATTAGCCTTTTTGTCTAAGGGACTCGGGTGTTTTTCAGCTCAAATGTAGCATTAGCACCTTACCCTGAGCAGCCCTCTAACTGCCAGTGTTATATTATCAGTGGCCAAATATGGATAAAAGCTGCGATTATTTAATTAGAAGACTGGGACAATATAAATAGTCCCGAATGTTTTCTGTGGCGAGGCACCCCAGTATTGAGTCTGGGAATTATCTGTCTGATTTCAAAACTGGCACAAAGCAATACATGCTTTGAGATGATGATGATGAAAACCACCTTACTGGGTGTTGGGAGAACAGCAGATTGCGCTTGTCCATTTAGAGTTGATTGATTGGTGCAAATGTCAACATCATCAACCGAGGTACAGCTGTACGTTTTAAGGCACACAATCATTTACATTCTTCCTCATTTGAGCTGCAGATAATTTTCCATAGTTTTGATTGAAAATCCGAGAGATTAAGCGAACTCTCATAAGAGATGGCTGTGTCTGACTTCCCGTGTCCTGTATTTGGAGTCAGCTGCTGAGCCTTCGCCTCCACGCCAAATATATTTAGAATACAAAACAAACAAATCCCCGTGATTTTGTATGTAAACAGTTTAGACATTTAAATGCTGTCAGCCACATTGCAGTATCCATCTATATATTAGGAACACGGCCACATGGTAACACATTATTTAAGAGCAGCACATATTTTTCAAACAAGCAGTTAATTTTAAACTTCAGGATAGTGTCATAAATGAAATACCAAAGTGACGTAACATTACACACACACACATTAATCTACACGGCATATATTTGGCAGTTGTGGATTGTTCAGGCCATGGCACCAGAAAACTCGCAACTTATGTCACGTAGACCTTCACATCCATTTCATGGCAGATGGTGCACTTTAGGAGCAATTCCACGCGACAATTACCCCGCAACGGAATGAATCAACCCATTGAGTGCACGAAAGCAGAGACCAGGCGCAGTGTTGGGCGCTCCGACCACGAGGACATCTCAGCCACCCATGAGCCAGGCAACGATTATGTTTCAAACCATCACCCTCATCTGCCGTGATCAATCCACTGCTGGATGAAGGCCTCCCGAAGCCGTGTACAAGGTGAGAACGTGCACGCACCCACGTGTGCGCGCACGTTCTCACCTTGTTCTGCATGGGCTTCCTCTAGGTTCTCATAAGAAACCCCACACAATGTTCGCTGGTGTTGGCCAAATCATCCCCAGTGCTCACAGCAATTACCTGCAAATGTACTCAAACGGGATTACGCACAGCACCCCCCCTTCCCCCGCCCCCCCCCCCGACTACGAAAACCTCGGCAGGGACCCCCCTGACGGAAAGGGCCTTGAGGCTATGCGCGAGGCCTCCCCCGGGCCACGCCGCCGCTTGTCCGCAACGATGTCCGTGGCCACGCTCTGCCCGCAGTGTGCAGCGTCGGCGCGAGCCACCAGCAGCAGCAGCAGCAGCCACGGCAGGACTGGGTGGAGTGCTCGGCGGCGCTGCGGCTGTGCAAGGCGGAGGCGGCGTGCAACCAGTCGTTCCGCAGCCTGGACGCGTGCGTGCACGGCTCGCCGGGGCGCGCGGGCGCCGACTGCATGGACGCGCTCATGGCGCTGCAGTCGCAGCCCATCTACGGCTGCAAGTGCAAGCGCGCCGAGAAGAACGAGCAGCGCTGCCTCAAGATTTACTGGACCATGCACAGCAGCTTCGAGCAAGGTTGCGCGCGCACGCGCCCACCCACCCGCGTGTGCGCGCACCCACCCACCCACCCACGTGTGCACGCACCCACCCACCCACGCGCACCCACCCACCGGCGTGTGCGTGTGACACTGGGGGAGCGGTGGTGTGGCGGTTAGCGCTACGCTGCGCTACGAACCCGGCGAACCGAGTTCGAAACCCGCTCATGGCCAACACCGGTGACGATTATTTGAACCGGTCCTGGGGCTCCCCTAGGTCGACTCGGCCTCAATTTAGTACCTAGTGCGATGTGTAACAACATTGTCACTAGGGAGACAAAGGTGGCCGGGCATGGTGTTGGCCACCCACGCCCTCGTGTGCCGTAACAGGCCTTTATAGGTGCTCGCTAGCAGCACTTGTCCCTAGAGTCTATAAGGCTACATGGGGGACCTTTGTCTTCGTCTGTCACTGCGCTACGAGCCCAGCGACCAGAGTTCGATTCCCTGTCGCAATCAAACGTCAGTGACGAATATCGGAAGCTTTAAATGAGTACCTGGTGGAATGTGTAAACCATGGGAGACAAAGGTGGCTGGAGAGACAATGTACTGGGGAGACAAAGGTGGCCGGGCATGGTGTTGCCACGCCACCCCCTCATGCGCCGTGCCGGCCTTCATAGGTGCTCGCTAACAAAAGTCTTTTGACGGCTCCATGGGGCATCCTTGTCTCCGTGTGCAGGTAAGAGTGGGGAACACAGCTCGTGCATCTGCTCGTTGTCTCAGTCAACCCTCTGCCACGTAACCTCTTTCGACATTTTGCGTGGCCTCAAAGCACACCTAGCCTGGCACGAACGTTGTGGTGACATCACCGCCATGTAATTGCGAACGGCGGCTGTTGTTGTGCATTTGCACGAAGAAACACAGGCAAAAGATGGCCTGTGTAGCTACCTACATAGATTGTTGGGGCAAGCGCTGTACAGAATGAAGCCGGCATGGCGCACGAGAGGGGGTGGTTTGACTTGCACCAAGGGTTGCCACCTGCGAGACACAACTACCCGGGATTTTTCATGGGAAGAAAATGAATTTCTCACAAGACCTGCAGATGGAAGAACTGCCTGCAAATGCGTTGTCTTGAGTGTTGTGTTATTAGCATCTGTCAAACACGGTGTTTTTTAAGTTCTAGATTTTTTTTGTCAGAAAATCAGGACAGGTGGCAACCCGACTGCCTTCACACCAGGTGCTCACTTAAGGCTGCGTTGAACTTCTTTCGCACCATACCTAGGCAACCGTGCTAATGATAACCGTGGCTGGGAATCCAACTCAGGTATGCTGTATGTGTAGGGCAGCGGGCGAGCCACCGCACCACACTCCCAAGACACTTAAGACCAATGGAGAAACAAAGTGTTGCCACGTTAGTGTGACGTAATTATACACACGGTAGATCTCGTGGACACGTTTGCGTCTCCACTGATTGTGGTTGTTATCCGTTTCCTTCCTGCGTGACTTACCTGCACTGCTACTGTGACGAGCCCGTTGTTTTACAACAGCGGGGTTTAATTATAGTACACGAGTGTAGGTTTCCAGTTGCACAAAGTCCCTGTGGTCAGAAGAACACGTTGTGCGGCCCTCTGATTTTGGACCTGTATCTCAATCCAAAGCGTTTAAAGATGTTTCTCAAATTGTTGCCATACGCTGCCTTCGCGTGGATGTGTATCCCAAGTCCAGCTGGTGGGTAACGACAGTGGGACGCACTCAGGCCTCGGGAGGCTTCGTGCCCGTTCCTGCCAATGAGCAGATTCCCAGAAGAGAAGTCGCCACCAACACGGAGAGACATTGAGGCTTCTAGACAGCGCTGTATGAAATATGCAAGTGTGCTGTGAATGCCACGCGTGCATGGTAGAGCCAATTGTGTCAACGTACCGCTGGTTGGGGGCCTCCCCACGTTGTGTGGGTTGTAGGGATTATTTTATCATACTAAACTAAAACTATATATTTTTTATTGTTACCAGGTAAAGGTCCACTGAGTTATACAGCTCTTTTTCAGAAGCGACCTGGCTATCGCAAATGATAGCCCGATGAAGTTCCGTATCACGATGACATTTATAGCAGCCAAATACTCTAAACGCGTGATGCTGATTCTAAATGTGGAGGGAAAAACCAGACGATCCCGAGAAAAATCCACGCGAACACGGGGAGGGAGACACGCAAACTCCAAATATACAGCAGCAGGCGTCAGGGTCGAGATCGAACCCACGACCTCCTGTATACCAGGCGAGGTAGTTAACACCCCCCACCCCATGGCTTGGTCAAGGTAAGGAGCATAGATGTGGCATACACAGAGCACAGCACTGCCCTCTGCTGGCCATAACGTAGTCATGCAGAAGCCTATAGCAACTGTTGGTTCCTAAGTGATTGCGCATCCATGCAGGATCCAGGCTGAACCCAATTTAGCTTCCACGGGAGGATGAGGTAGGGTACAGTACCGCGTATGTACCACGTATATGTACCACATACGTTCTAAACGAGTATTTTAGATGTGCTTGTTATTCTTGGTTAGGATGTTTAGCAATTATTTGTCAGTCTTCGTGCAGTTGTCTTCATTATTGTATTCGCCTTTATAAGTCAGGAACCCCTTGATGAATAGACTTGATGGGTTCTCTCACCTGCCTGTACAATAAATGAGCTGTCTTGTGTGCATGTCAGACCTATATTTTGACATAATGATTTATGAAGGCATGCATGCAGGTATATAGATGGAATTAAACAGACGGTAAGACACAGCAGCACGTGGAAATAACATCTTGTTGTTTGCTTTTGAAAAATGTTATTCAGCTACATTGTTACAATTAAGGTTGCTGAGGTTGTGCTCTTGACAGTGTGATTAATTAGTATTTTGGAATGTTGCCTTTGACTAACGTTAAGCCATATTCTTTGCAGATGACGACATATTCGCAAAATTGCAGGATACGCCTTACATCCCACTTCAGTTGGGTAAGTCATACAGTTCCAGTCACCCACAGGAATCTTTGGCTATTGTTGTTGTTATCATGAGCACTGAGTTGTAAGTAACAAATCAATCATCCCGCTTGGACGATAGTTGCGTCTCCTTATGCGTTGCAAATCCTAGAGGAGAATCGATGTCAACACTCAGAACCAGGTGGAAAGTGGCAGTGGCCAAATGGGAACCTGAGAAATTGCTTTGGGGAATATTGTTTTCATATTTGGTATTTCAGGTATCAGCTGCATCATCATCATCATCCATGATCAATGCACTGCTGGTTGAAGGCCTCCCCAACCAAATCGCCATCACTCATTGACTCATGGCACGACTATCCACTGAGCTCCGCCGCACAATCATCTCTGAAACTACCCTCGATCCACGTGAAAAACTCTAAACTCTTCACAAGTTGAAGCCAGTCACGTACATACAAAAAAAACATACGTATGCAATTTTCTGTAATACACACAATAATGCAAACCTTTTAAACTAATCACAATGTAGATGCCAAGTTGCAATCTGCTCTTATTGCTCAGTGCAATGTATATCGTACACACAAAGAAATGGCACGATACTGTAAAGTGTCTTCTTATTAGTATTCTGTGCAAAGATAATTTTACTTTCGCAGCAAATGGAAATATCGCCACGTTTCATGAAGAGTTATTATTTGCTGTTCTCTTAATTAATTGGATGCAAAGTCATTACTGTGAAAACGGCTGAATAATGGAACTATGCTATTAATTGATTATTGCTGTCATGGAGCTGTTCAAATTAAAGGTCCTGACTAAGGATGTCCATGTTACAAGAGCCCTGCCATGTCTCTGCTCAAGTCCTGTAATATTAGTATCCATCTGCGCACTACATTGACGGTTTGTGTATGTGTCAATACGCAAACGTATAGTCATTCATGAAATATATGGAACTAAACTTTAAAAGTGTGCAAAGAAGTACACTTTTAAAGTTTAGAAGCATGGAGAGACAGAAAGAGGAATATGTGGATTGGAGAATATGCGCAGGCAGCTTAGTGACTTATTAACTGTTCAGAAAGATACGTGGGTTTGGGCAACACAGATCACTTATAGAATGGCCGATGTTCAAGAATAATAACAGAGGGGCAGCCAAGGAATGTAATCCGTCGGATAGGACACTAGCGAGAAGATTGAGCGATGAATTCAGTTCATGTGCAGGCGCTGGGTAGATTCCGACATCGCCAGATCAAGAGAGGTAGCGGTAGTTAGGAGAGGCCTTCATCCAGCAGTGGATTGAACATGGCTGGTGATGATGCAGTGGATTACAGTTCAGATTTAAAAAAACCAACATGATATACTTGGTTCGATGGACTATTAATGGCTGGTCTTTCCAAAATACATATAGTTGTTTTCCTTCACAATTTGAATGACTTATGCAACAACAACAAAACATTTAATAAAGAATTAAAGCTTTCGTGACTGCATAAATTACTCATTGGTTATTTTTCGGTAAAGTCACGTATGTAGAAATTATGGTATTTCTACATACGTGACTTTACCGAAAAAAAAGAATGAGTAAAAAAACATTTGCCAGGGTCATGTGGACATCTGCAATCGCTTTAACTCTGAGCCAGCCTCTCGCATGTTACACTCGATGGACTCTTTTGATGGAATCCTGCCTCACTCGCACGCCTGAACTGAGCTAAAATCCTTCACAATCTACTTGAGAAAATATCTCACATCACAAAATCAATACGGCATGGCAGACACTTGGTGTACGAAACTAACAGGTTATGTCTGGATGTAGTTTATGCATGCTCTCCACTGTACGCTTTTGGAACTCTTTTATTTCAAGATGACGGGTTTCGTCCTCGCCACATTTCTTTGCTCTCAACTTCACATCACCTTCTAGTTTTTGATTGTCACCTCCACACTTGGATGGGCCAGCCTTACGTGAGCTGTTCAACGCAGATGGCTCGAAGAGACAAGAGGCTACGATGCTAATTCTTGAGCTGAGAGCCAGGAGTTGTATAGCCGATTCAATAAATCAGATCATCATCACTGGCATTGTACGTATGCTGAACTTCATGTACGTATGTTGAACTTCATGTACGTATGTTGAACTTCATGTACGTATGTTGAACTTCTTTCGCACCGTACGTAGCCAACCGCGCTAATCGGCGGTGCGGGGGAGGAAACAACAAACTAAACACAAAAATAAGCTCTAAACAAATGAGTTTTAAATTCAGTTGCCAGATTTGGTACGAGCTTTGCTGAATGCTGTTTGCCGTGGATGCGTGGAGAACTCATCGCGTGCTGGATATTTACCAAGGCGATGCTGGAGGACGTGCGCGGAAGCAGAATCAGAATATTTACTTCGACTGCAGGAGGAATCCGATGAGCTGTGAAGCTCTTTTTCACAGACGTCCAGCAGGAGCGATCGGCGACGCTTCTCGCAGTAGTGGGGGGCGCGTTCCGTCTGGCCGGGTCGCGTTTCAGTTGGGACCAAAGATGCCCTGGGGAGGGATCATCGGTGATCGATATGATGGAGTACTCACAGGTCCTGTAGGAGCTCGCAGCAGGAAAAAAAGACGAGGATGCACTTGAACAACATCAACATTTGTCTAGGGTTTTATTTTTGGAGTGTGTGTACGGGTATTGCTAATCAGACAATTTCGTACATGCACTGTATATGCATAATTCATATCCAGTATGCAATGCTATGCGCACGAATACAACCCTCTGAATTAAAACAAAACATCCCCTATAAATAAATACTGTACCCCCATTATATTCCTTGTTACTTTCAATTAGGCTAACAGGCTATTAGTTACATTCCCTATGGGAGAGAATGTTTATTTTAATCATATTGCGTATAGCGCTTCGGTTATCAAAAACAAAGTGGGGTTGGCCCCTGAATGCCACGGCAAGGCGTACGGGAACAGCTACAGGACATAGCAAAGGGGGCCACGCTCTCTACGTACGGGGACAGCTACAGGACAGAGCAAGGGGGGGCCACGCTCTCCACGTACGGGAACAGCGACAGGACATAGCAAAGGGGGCCACACTCTCCACGTACGGGGACAGCTACAGGACAGAGCAAGGGGGGGCACACTCTCCACGTACGGGGACAGCTACAGGACAGAGCAAGGGGGGGCCACACTCTCCACGTACGGGGACAGCTACAGGACAGAGCAAAGGGGGCCACACTCTCCACGTACGGGGACAGCTACAGGACAGAGCAAGGGGGGCCACACTCTCCACGTACGGGGACAGCTACAGGACAGAGCAAGGGGGGGCCACACTCTCCACGTACGGGGACAGCTACAGGACAGAGCAAGGGGGGGCCACACTCTCCACGTACGGGGACAGGACAGAGCAAGGGGGGCCACACTCTCTACGTACGGGGACAGCTACAGGACAGAGCAAGGGGGGGGCAGACTCTCCACGTACGGGGACAGCTACAGGACATAGCAAGGGGGGGCCACGCTCTCTACGTACGGAGACAGCTACAGGACAGAGCAATGGGGGGCCACACTCTCCACGTACGGGGACAGGACAGAGCAAGGGGGGGCCACACTCTCCACGTACGGGGACAGCTACAGGACAGAGCAATGGGGGGCCACACTCTCCACGTACGGGGACAGCTACAGGACAGAGCAAGGGGGGGCCACACTCTCCACGTACGGGGACAGCTACAGGACAGAGCAAGGGGGGGCCACACTCTCCACGTACGGGGACAGCTACAGGACAGAGCAAGGGGGGCCACACTCTCCACGTACGGGAACAGGACAGAGCAAGGGGGGCACGCTCTCCACCCAGCCTGGAGGAGACGCACTCATACATATCAAAGCGACTATGACAGAATGTGTTTGTCTTGGCAGCACATCTGTGAAGGATACATCGGATGTAGCCTTCGGCCTCACTCGTTAAGTTACGAGCCTTGCATACAGTTCGGCCTCTTTTAAAGACATCTAACGAGCGAAATGTCGTGAACAGCATTTTGTTAAATCTCGTATTGCCCATCTATTATTGATCTTCATATCAAATTCTTATTCAACAAACACTATGAAAGTTTATATCTGGCATTCACGTTACATAGCAGCAATATCAAAGTTCACGTATAGTATGTGCTGGACACGACGCATTTAGTTAATTTTAGGTATAGCAAAAAAACCATGGTGGAACCTTGTAAGCAAAAGGTGTAAAGGTGCAGCCCTGCAATGCCTTGCTCACGTCATTGCTGGCAGAGGGATCTCTATTTGATGGAGCTCCAGAAAGGGGAAAACCGATCATAATTTTTTTTCATTCTTTGATACTGGAAAAAATATCCCATTTTGTAGTTATCATTTGCAAACTCCCGCTCTGATTGATGCATACGCACGCTGAACTTCTTTCGCACCGTACGCAGCCAACCGTGCTAACCGGAGGTGCGCAGAGGGGGGCGAAGTACGAACAATCTAAAAAAGCAGACTATACCATACCCCCCCCCACCCAACCCGCGTGTGTGTCACCGCTGACCGTCCCGACAGAGGGCGAGACGGGCCTGGCGGCCGACGATCGCATGGACTGCGTGGAGGCCACGTCGGCCTGCAACAAGAACGCCTCGTGCCAGTCGCACCGCACCGAGTTCTTCATGAAGTGCATGCGGCCCTCGGAGAGTCCGTGCGACCGCGAGTCGTGCCACGTGGCCCTGCGGCGCTTCTACGACAACGTGGCGGTGGTGCGGAGCCGCAGCCTGCTGTTCTGCACCTGCAGCACGGAGAACTGCGAGGACCGCCGCCGCCTCACCATCATGCCCGAGTGTTCGTACAAGCAGAAGGAGCGCCCCAATTGCCTCAACGTCCACGCCAAGTGCCTCCATGACCGCGTGTGCAGGTCGGTCTGGCACGACCGATCCTCGTTCCGACACTTCAACAGCAACGACTTGAACGGTTTTTTTTTAAAGTAACATTTTCGCAAGACAAAAGCGGAAGGTTGCTATTCACTATCGCAGTACTACCAACGTGCCTGGGTTGTAGCTTACTAGAACTAAGTTTGTCGTTGAGTACACACACACACACAAGTAACGTACTATTTATCTCTCCGATATCTACGCCGCGCTGAATGCCGCTGCATGTTGACTTTGGCACAAAATACATCGTTAGCTGTGGGGAACACTAACCTCACGCGGACTCTGCGAGGTGCAAGCCAGCTGCGGAGAGCAGTGTCAATCAGCATGCATTGGAACGTCTAACGCCGTTAGAGTTTCAGCTGACCAAGCCCACTGAGAACAACTTGCAGAGTGCTTAATCTGGTTGCCGTTTTGATTCGGCAGCTTCATTACGGACGCTGCGATGGTGTTTTCGCGTTGCGCCGCTTGCCGTTCAGCACACGTGGTGATGCACATCGTGGTCGTGGATTCGATTCCGACCCTGATACCTGCTGTATATTTGGAGTTTGCGTGTCTCTCTCTCTCCCCGTGGTCGGATTTTCTTCTCCGGGCCCTCCGGCTTTCCCCTCCACATTTAGAAACATGCGTTTAGAGTATTTGGCTGATGTAAATTTTCACGTGATAAGCCACTTTGTTGAGCTATCATTTGTGGGCAGATCGCTTCTGAAAAAGAGCTACATGGCTCAGTGGGCCTTACCTGGTCAAATAAAAATATATTTTTGTATTAAATAGTTTAGCATTAAGCTCATTTGCAAGCAGACACAGCAGGACTGTCCTGAAGTTTTGGGAATAGCTGCATTGTGAGAAACTGAATTGCCACTGTGCATCAACTAAGCCCTGATTCATCAATTACATTTGATCCTCACTCTCATGACACATCCATCGAATTGCACATGCACGGATCGCTTATTGATGTTTCGTTTATCGTTCAGGTGAGCCCTGTCGCCTGAGCATACTTACCAGTCCGACTGACTGAAGCGGTAGGCTGACAATCAGTAAACCCTTTAAACGCATAACAACTTACAAAGGAAATCGTACAGATTTGTGAACATTTTGGAGAAAAGAAATGGTGTTAAGCCGCGATTCATTTTGAAAATCGGTTTGAAAACTTGCAGCCTATCACTTACATCAGTCGGGTTGGCAAGTGAACGTTAGATGCACGACATTCATCGCAATGTTAAACGACGAATAATTTTAGTGATCAAATTGTCACCCGAAATCATTAAAATTCATAGAACCAAGAGGTCAGCGAATCATTGCACGTCTGATGAGCACCTTTGAGTTGTTTAAACTGCATGTAGCCCATAGCCCTCTTCAGTGGGGCCCTGGAGCCCTGGGGTCTGCTGCTGCTGCTGGGTTCATAGCTGGGGCATAGCGGCCTTGACGGCCAAGATACTACCCAATAAACGCTATCTCAGCGTCGTGGGGTAGACCGGTGAATAGGGGTGGACTGATTCACCATCCCGACGAGTCGATGCATTGGCACAATTCAGGGACACGATTATATTCAAGATTACATTCCATTTATTTGTTTTTATGGCACCGATCACTTGAACCCATTATATACAATATAGCGATGGAATAACATTGAGTCTTACAAATGCATTGTTAATGTTAAACGTCTTTATTATAAGAATCGATGCATCATTACACCGCAAGTGATGAATCAGCCACCTTACAGCCGGTCTCTTGTGTGTGTTTTTTATTTAGCTGTTTCTTGACATTTCCCCCCCACACTTGTGGCTTCTGCCATCCTGGCCCTTTCTCCATTCATTGCTGTCCTGAGCCTGAAGGGCGCAGCTACGGTGCATGTCGTGGGTGTCCAGACACCCACCACATGTTGAATTATGGCTTATCCACAAGATTTTGGGCAAAAATCACACGTGTGTGTTTTTTAGTCCACGATTTTCGTCTTTCAACAAGGTGACATGAATGCTGATTATGATGATGATCGAACCGTTAATTACACAGTAGTGCATGCACAGTCGACTCAGTGGCGAGTCAGTATCCACTGGTTTGATCGATTTTATATCGTTGCAATATAGCAGAACTCCTCTTTTCCAGGACAAACGGACCATGGATGTGGTCTGTAATCTACCCAGTAAGCACCGGGAACCATTCACTCGCAGCAGCAAGCGCCTGGCTTGCACATTGTCGAAAGAGCTATTACTGCAGCCATCTAAGACGGCTACGAAGTGATGAGAGAATCATGGCTCTCAGGATGATTCGTTGAGTGTTGACCATGGTAATGGAACAGCGTGGCTCAAGATAACATTGTCGTGTTACACAGACTGTGCCCCTGGATCCTTTACCTTCGATAGTCCAATCCACAGTCGTACTCGAATTGTAAATGTTGTGGGTTAACTCAGCAACGCACCGGTGTGCTGAAGTAGTAACTAATTGGCACTTTTTATTTACGTGACAAATCTTACTAATTGGCCGTTTCGGGTCGTGGCGGGTTTAACGACACATTTATATTTACGCGATTTAAGACAAGAAATATAGATGCAGTTTAACTTTATTATGGACTTCATGTCCTCGTTTTCAAATTTGCGGTTTTTTTGCCTCCTTTTTCCAGATCTCGGTTGGATGACTTCCGGATGAACTGTGCACCAGTGAGCTACTGCAGGGCTGGCTGTGAGACAGAGAACTACAAACGATGCCTCTACGCCTACACTGGCCTCATCGGTACGTAACGCCGGAACACCGCCACGTTCTGGATGAGTCACTGCAATGACAAATTGCAAGGAACATTGTTGACATGATAGTATCTCGAAAACACGTGCTGCAGTAATACATTTATAATTGATAACTGCAAGGAAAGGCACGCGTAAGAATCAAGTGTCTCTCGGAACGTCTGCCTTAAATAATTAACAAATGCAAAAAAAAATCAATAGGCTTCAGTTGTAAGCAGCATTTTATTGTGTAATGGCGAAATGTGTTTTGTGCAACGCTAATGACGGATGATGGACGCTTCAAAATGAACTGCGACACGCTATTAATCTGTGTTGTCTTCGCGATGCAGGCAGTCGTGAGAGGCATGCATTACCCTTCAGGGCAGTGGCGTCGCTATTGTTGGGTGTGCGGGAGGTGCAGCTGTCCCGTGGCCCAGGCACCGGGTTATGAAGAAGGCAGCAAAGCTGACAGAGGGCTCCGTTTCATTCCTTGTGCCTGGGCAGGGCACGCGCCAACCACGCTGCTGCGCTGCTGCACCTTTTGTTGTTGTGCGTTCACAGGCACGGTCATGACTCCCAACTACATCAACACCAGCCTGGCGGTGTCGCCGTGGTGCACGTGTGACGGCAGTGGGAACAAGCTGGATCAGTGCCAGTACCTGCTGGGCCTCTTCACGGACAACCCCTGCCTGAGTGAGTCCCACTCAAGCCTGCCGTCTATACGACATGAGCGAGGCTCTGAATAGCTGGGGACCCTGCAACTTCGTGTTCACACCACTGCTGACAGAAGGCAGCTCCATAGAACTCCCTGTCATCATCATCACGATCCATGAGGCATAGCCCGCAGTCGGTGTCCACTGCATATTTCGTCATTTGTTTCCACTTTCCTCTCTCTCTTCTGGTGCCAATATGCTCAAGAAGTGTCACATCTTGCTGGTACCGATCTTGTGCTGTCGTCATTGTCGTCAAGCCACTCTCTGTGAGGTCTTCCTCTCTTTCCGGTTCCTTCCATTTCTCCGAACAACAACAACAACAACGACACACTTTTAATTCTCCTGTTGTTCTCCATCCTACATATGTGTCCAAACAATGACAGTTTCCTTCTCATCACTGCCTGCATCAAGTCTTCCTCTATGTGCAACCTTTTTCTTACATCATCTTTGGGTCCAGTTTAGATGCAAGAACTCCCAATAGAGGATGTTTTGGCCTATCCTTCCACGCTGGTCAGACATCTTTTAAGGGGTACGATTACCCACACTTAATGCCACCCTCCTGGATGCTTCCTCCTGGTCGACTAACCGCGGTGTACCCAGTTATAATGCTGGGTAGACAGAGGCAAGGGCTATTGGAAAAACATAAACTTCCATATGCCCGTGAGATCAAACGGGCGACCTTGGGATTGCAAGTCCGGTGAGTGTGCTGTTATGCCACAGCAGCATCGGAAGGGAAATAAAAAGTTCCGTGCTGGGAGGTGGTAGGAGAGCAAACTACACTCGAATAGAGTACAACCAGGGTGGGCTTCAGAGTCGAGATAATTGATCATCACCCAGCATCGGCCAAGAGAATGGTGTTCCAAAGAGCAGGGGCTGAGGAGGAGGTTGAACAACTTGGTTTCTGGCAGAGGTTAAATCACAGCTGGCGAGCAAAGGCCCAGGGGGCCCAAAGCACCAAGCGGCCAGCAGCCAATGGCACTGCAGCGTGGTGAGAGGTGAGTGAGGAGAGGCTGTGGTGAGAGAGGTGAGTGAGGAGAGGCTGTGGTGAGAGAGGAGTGAGGAGAGGCTGTGGTGAGAGGTGAGTAAGTAGAGGCTGTGGTGAGAGAGGTGAGTGAGGAGAGGCTGTGGTGAGAGACGAGTAAGTAGAGGCTGTGGTGAGAGGTGAGTAAGTAGAGGCTGTGGTGAGAGAGGTGAGTGAGGAGAGGCTGTGGTGAGAGACGAGTCAGTAGAGGCTGTGGTGAGAGAGGTGAGGAGAGACTGTGGTGAGAGAGACGAGTCAGTAGAGGCTGTGGTGAGAGAGGTGAGTGAGGAGAGGCTGTGGTGAGGGAGACGAGTCAGTAGAGGCTGTGGTGAGAGAGGTGAGTGAGGAGAGGCTGTGGTGAGAGAGGAGTGAGGAGAGGCTGTGGTGAGAGGTTAGTAAGTAGAGGCTGTGGTGAGAGAGACGAGTGAGGAGAGGCTGTGGTGAGAGACGAGTCAGTAGAGGCTGTGGTGAGAGGTTAGTAAGTAGAGGCTGTGGTGAGAGAGACGAGTGAGGAGAGGCTGTGGTGAGAGGCGAGTAAGTAGAGGCTGTGGTGAGAGAGGTGAGTGAGGAGAGGCTGTGGTGAGAGAGACGAGTCAGTAGAGGCTGTGGTGAGAGAGGTGAGTGAGGAGAGGCTGTGGTGAGAGAGACGAGTCAGTAGAGGCTGTGGTGAGAGAGGTGAGTGAGGAGAGGCTGTGGTGAGAGAGACGAGTGAGGAGAGGCTGTGGTGAGAGACGAGTCAGTAGAGGCTGTGGTGAGAGGTTAGTAAGTAGAGGCTGTGGTGAGAGAGACGAGTGAGGAGAGGCTGTGGTGAGAGGTGCAGGATCCAGGGAACCAGGATGCGCAATGGTTACCGTAGCACAGAAGGTTGGCAAGTGGCAGTGCTCCGCAACGTGCACGCTCTCATACAGATGGACCGTGCTTGCCAGAGGTGCACAATGTCTCATCCATCAAAACAAAATGTTTATTGAGTCGAATTGGTCCACACGGCATTGCTACGGCAGTGTGTGTGTAATTCCATGGGAAAACCCGAAAACAACATGAAGTCCAAGACAAACTGTGAAGATGATATATCACTTGAATACTCATAAAATGAAGGAAGGAATGCAGACCTCCAAATAGCGTGTGGCCTGATGATTCATCATAATTAACAATCCGTTGTTAATCCACTGCTGGATAAAGGCCTCTTCACGCTGTCTGTCAATGGGAGTTGTTTTCGCCATACTTCACCACACTGGTGAATGTGGATTTCTGAGTTGGAGTGGTCGAGTAGCCGAGGTCACAAACCGTTCAGATATCACCCCCATAGAGGTTCTGCCAGGTTGCTGATTTCACACAGTATGCGAACCACTACACCACCACTCATCTGCAGCCTAAGTTTAGCCCTTATTACATCTAACAGATAAGGGAGCATTTCAGCTCAGCTATTTCAGTAAAATTGCTATACAGCAGTTATTTATGCATACAATCAAGTTACAGGGAATGAGAGTTGAACAGCCTCATGCCGTTCGATGTTTCAACTGATAACATGAATCCTCCTCTGGCTAGGCGAATGGAGGTTTAGCATTTAATGAGGATCCAAGTCCTTAATCGGCTAAAACAATTATTTACTCAAATGCACAGGGCATGTAATGGTTTACGGGAATTATATTGGATTGACCAAAGAATCTGGGTTGTACGATGCCATTTCAGCTGGTGACATTTACCAAAAGGTAGCAAACAGTCGAATGTCAACAAACCATACGCACGCCATAATTACACGTATCTTGATAACAACTGATGTAATTGTGACTAACATGCCTATTTTGGCTGCTCAAATTGGAAAATGACAAACATTTCCATAAAGGGATGTGTACGGCAATGCGTTGTAATTATTGTTCTATTTAAAACAATGTCCCTTTGCAGACTATAACAAAACAAATTTAATTGAATGTGTTTCATGATGTGCTTTAAAATGGAAAATATGGTGACATTCTTGGAATGGTACTGCTAGTGATAATGGGACTGTGGAATGTGCGAGATTAAGTTGAACAGTTGATTTGAAATGAATGACCCGTTATTTTGACTTGAACTTTTGATCAAAAGGATTGCATGCATATGTGCAGTGATCAAAGACAACCGGTCTGCGTGCTGTATTTATTAACGTCTAAAAATGTTGTAACGCCATCAGAAAGCGCCATCTCCCTGTTCACTGCAAGCGGCGACCACGGCGTGATGGGAAACCACAACTGTGCAACACCAAACCCGCACAACTCCGAACGCTTCGCGGCCATCAACGAAAACGAAACCTCGACAGTGGCCAAGGTGATGGTCATTACCACCGTCAATAATGACACACAACAGGTCAGTGTGTCAACAGTTATATTAGAATAACGACTAAATTGCGGGTCTTTGCCATTGCACTGTTGGATGAAGGCCTCCCGTACGTGTGTGTGCAGTCCGTTCTCCTATAACGCGGCGGTAGTTGCGTTCCTGAAGAACATCGCCTTATGGACAAATCTATTTTAATAAATAATATGTGACAACGCGAATTAACCGAGATAACGCATGAGATGTGTACGCAGGCTGAACAAAGACTGAGGCTCGTGAGTAGGATCTAGAAGCATCCAGCAGCATCCCACCGCCTTGTTGCGATGACGCTACACCGAGGCAGCCGTACGACCGCTTATTCCTACTCGTGCTGCGACGTAGTTCCGTTCACTCGATCGTGTTGTATCCTAATGCATTAATCGCGTTCTATCCAATTCTCGTTATGAAATCATGCGCCGTTATAGGAGAACAGACTGCATGTTGAACTTCTTTCACACCGTACATAGCCGACCGTGATAATCGGTCACGGGTTGTTGTTTGGCCATACCTCACCGTGCTGGTTAGTGGGAGTTGGTTAAGGGTGAGCAGCCTGGACTGGTTCATAATATCGGGACTCAAACTCAGGTTACTGGGTTCATAGCGCAGTCCGTTATTCACTGAGCCACCATTCCTCCCAGGTTTCCACAAAATACTAAAGCTGTATGGGTATGGAATAACGAGCATGGCTCACAATAATTTCAATCTCAGAACAATGTTTTATGTTGCTCATGCGAAGATGCTCATGCTGTTTGGTACAATGTGAGTACAATAAACCTCAAAGAGGATGTTTTGTAAGCAGCTCAATCAACGCGCCATGAGCTTCAGAAATGAGGTTTAAACGTTTCAGTAATCATAAATGAGTGGAAGGCAGTGCTTGGTTGTAATATTGTTTTAACCGTGATTTGCAAGCTTTGCCCCTGTGGGGAAAGACTGCATTTCTAAGCATGCGCTAAATAAGTTGAATGGCATTTTGCATAATTTACAAGGGTTTTTATGTCTTCATTTTAGAATTGACTGAGCCATGCGAAAGGGCCATTATTGAGGGGTATACGAGTGCAGTGGGAGAGCTGATGGGAGTGAGGAGTAAAGCTGCTCATGCACCCGTGCCATGCTCATTGTTATTGTGTCTAAAGAGTTCAAATGTGTCTGCCGCTCAGTCGGCCACAAATGTTAATATTTGTTTTAGAAATTAGTGACGAAAATGTCATCGTATTATTCGTTTGTTTTGGGTTAGATCGTGTAGGTATGACGTCACTTTTTTAACAATAACCCTCCACCACCCGACAGAGCCAGTCAAATCAAGTTATCAAACCAGTCAAATCAAGTTATCAAACCAGTCAAATCAAGTTATCAAACCAGTCAAATCAAGTTATCAAACCAGTCAAATCAAGTTATCAAACCAGTCAAATCAAGTTATCAAACCAGTCAAATCAAGTTATCAAACCAGTCAAATCAAGTTATCAAACCAGTCAAATCAAGTTATCAAATCGGAATGTTGAAAGGCCAGAAAAATGCAGACAGCTTTGAACGACGTTTCGCCAGCGATAACATCCAGCATAATCAGGTGTTAACAAAGCTCAGCTCTCGTGTGGAAGAGATGATGATTCATTATATGGCACGTGGAAGCCCTCACCTGAAGACGATCGCTTGTGTTGCGATCGAAACGTCGTGATGTTTTTATTCTTATTTTTCTATCTACTTGGCTCTGCCGAAAGACCCACAGAATACCTACGAAAAGTAATTTATTTATTTGACGCGACGATGACTCTGAGTGGACAGAAATCATCAAGCGTGGCATTGACCACAACTCCCAGATTGTAATGCCCTGAGGAAGAGCAAAGGGATACATTGGCTAGACACAGCATTTATGTAAAAAGTTTTCCCAAGTTCACCGATTAGCTGACCTGATGATATTTTGGTGTAGTATGGGGATTACACATCCCTCATTACCGATAGCTAATAACCAAAGATGGACTACATTTGTGACTGTTTTAGTCGACGAGAGAATGAGAAAATTTCATTTACAAACGAAAAAACTCGATGAAAAATGCAACAGGTTGCCATTGACTCAGAAAGCCTCAGACCACATTTATTAGAAAACACCGCAGACTATAAACCAACACTGGTTACCCACACAAGCACTTGAAACAATATGTTTTTCTCAAGCCAATGCGACTATTTTGCAACTTGTGGCCATGGGAGATCGCCCAAGTGGGTGTCCAACTCGCCAGTGCTTCTCTTGGAAGCCCCTGCAGAGACCCTGGCAGTGTTATGTAGTAGAAGCACAACGGGGAGTTCTATGGAGGGCTCAGGCCGAAGGAAGGGTGGGGGGGGGGCTAAAGCGGACCCGGGCCCCCTTTTAGCAAAGTCATTGGAAGTCGTAATAGGATCAGCCGGAACCCATTGGGCAAACGCAACGAGGGCTTTCGGGGCGAGGTCCCCGAGGAGAATGGGCGACCTTGCGTAATGGGCTCGTTTAAAGTTCTAGTACAGTGCCTCGGCTTTCGTTTTTTAGGGTTCACAATGGTTTTTTTAGACGGAATTTGTATACTCCAACATTAAAATATCAACTAAAATGTTCAGCTGTATTTTGTAACGTTTAATGTTGATTTGCTACGACAGTTTAGTATAATTTAACGGTGGGTAAAATGTGTCACCGCTACGTACTGTGTTCATATTGCGTACACAGTATGTGACGTGTTTTACGGTACCATATATATGCAAATGTACAACTTCAGGAAAAGGCCTAAACTTGTCCACTACGGTATTATAAGGTAAAAGTTCAAGGTGCAGCCCTGCAATTGCTTGCTCACGCCATTACTGGAAAAAGGGCCTCCTCCACCAGAGGGAGCTCTGGAGAGGCCCTCTAGACTGTATTTGGCCTACTCTTCCATGCTGGCCAGGCGTCTTACAAGAGGTGGGAGAACCCCAACACTTCACCCCGCCACAGGTCACCTGCCGAGTGACCGACCGTGGTGTGGCCATGTATACTGCAGGGTGGCTTGAGGGGTAGGTGGTATTCACGACACCACCACCATTGTATCAACTGCCACACACGGAAACAACTATAAATGCATACATATACAACCGTATTTGATTTTTACGCTACAACCAAAGCAACTCTTTAACATCCTATCAACGCCAGCCTCAACGCATAATTGTTAAATATTTTTTTTAATCATCTCTTTTTGGGTCACGTTCACACAGCTAACTTCAAATCCATTGCTACGTTTACATCAGAGTGCATCTCAACCTCATGGCTATATTACAAAGCGCCCTGTTTGCTTTGATATGATGGCATTGCTTTAATGTGGTCGAGTGTCAGATGTGGATCCTTGTGTGTTTCTTTTTTATATATTACATTTTTGTTCTCGTATGTGGAACATGGGGAGGTCGCTGGTATTGGGTTACACAGCAGGTACATCGCGCTCATCAACTGCATGCCCCTGGATAGATGATTATACAACTCTGCTACTAGTCCAGACACACACCGTCCGTGCTAGGTTTTCGCCCCGCAATGCCAAATGTAGACGCCTTTGGCTGAATAGTCAGACGGTCTGTGGTGCGCAGGGCCTCACTCTCCTGTGTGTGCACGATAGGGCTGGGACACAACGTCCAGAACACGTGTGTGTGTGTGTGCAATCTTATACTCATTTAAAGGGTCACGTCAAAAGGTTGACGTGACTATTCTCACACCTAAATCCCTCGACTCTACCTCCGCATTCAGGGAGTGCTACAATGTATGAGCAAGAAGGATTGGGTTCTTTAGATGTGTGTGTGTGTTTTTTTTAGATTACATTTATTTCAGCAAGAAGGGTCCTTTGAGCTGTCCGGCTCTATTTTAACGGCGGCGTCCTGCGACGGTACGGATGGCATTGCACAGTACAGCTCTCAGTTGCAATCATGGCTACAAAGGTCGCGATACAAACGGCATGTATTGGCACGCACTCTTTATGTTTCAGGAATAGGGAACCAGTGGAAAACGTAAAAAAATAAACTTGACTACATTCTTTTACCAACAAAAATAAAGAGAGGGGAAAAAACACATATATAATAACTTAACACACATGGTGTAACAGTCAACGCAGCAGAAAAATTTAAGTAAAATGTTAACATTTGGAAGATGAAATCTCTTGGTCGACTAAGGGCTGTAATCGGCTTCGTGTTTCGCGGTCGACGAGTCGAGCCCCTTGTAAAAGCGTGCCGGTGCTGACAACGTGTGTGTCGAAGGTGGGAAACCCCCGCTCGAAGCGACGCCCAGCGTCACATCCCGGTCCATCACCCCCCTCCATCCAGTGGCAGACGTAGGAACGGAAGTGAAACTTTTTTTGTGATTTAGTAATCAAACGGATTATCAGTCGAGTAATTGATAACGTAATTAATCGGAGAGTCCAGCTCAAGAAATCTGTAAGCAAGCACCAGCGATTTATTCTAAACCAAGAGCCATGACAGATTCCTCCACATGTGTACGTGGTATGTGCTGGTCAGTGGTTGAAGACCTTATTAAAGGTCACTTGTAATTTCTTGAGGAATGTTTAAAATGCAATAACAAGAGTCCCGGCATAATTACTGCATGCGCAAGTTCTGAGAATGTTTTTGCGATTGTCTGCAGTAACACCTCAACATGATTGTAGCGTTCTCAAGGGTTGCTTCTCAGTGTTGTGGTTGCTGAGCAAAGGTCCTCAACAATAAGCAGCCAGCAACAAACAGCATTATTGAAGGTACAATATATGAGTTAATACGTGCCTTGAGCCGAGCGAGGTTCTAACGAACTGGGAAAAGAGACGATTGCGGGAATTCCAAAGTCGAGCAATGTGAGTCAAAATGAGAGAGATAAATGTTTGGCCCGGAATGTGGTGGGTGAACACAGTCAGGTCTTGTTGAAACAAGACAGTCTGGTCGACCCAGCCCTCAACACGGGGATGCGAAATTACATCGAAATGTGTACATTTGTT